GCCCATCTCTCTCTTTCATTGGATATCTTAAGCCTCAAATCAAGACAATCTTCCACACTCCATCATTGAGACCATACAGTATAGGTATCCACCCTCACCACGTAGAGCCTACAGTATATACAAGTGCTTGCAGGAGCAGACAGTTGTGTCTTCAAACAGACGAGGGGAATATAAGAAGTTGTGGTGGAATTGCTACTCCTACACAGGTAGCTATAATGAAATCAATAATCTAGACTATCTCTAGCACCTGGGCCACTTCCAGCTCGTGGAATTGACAATGAGTCCTCAATCTCCAGCAGCCCAGGCCCCAGTTGCTGGAGATTGAGGACTGATTGAGATTGGAGGTCTTGGAGACCAGATCTCCCTCATAGAGGTGATGACCTGATGTTGTATGATGGGATGTCGTGGACTTGCTGATAGATGATGGTTGATGGACTTCTGTGTGGGAATCAATGAGAACTAGTATGTTTGAATCAGATCGATGAGAAATTTGATAGATTACAAGTCGACATTTTGCTAGACACGTTCTTCAAAACAACTAACATTTTCAAAAAACACAGTAAACCACAAATCACAAAAACGCGTAAAAACCACACCCGCATAACGTCGTTTTCTGAAGCAAAAAGAGGCAGCAAAGTTCTATCTGCACTTTCTTCTGGATGCACCGCCTGACCTTTTTCTTCTTTTTGTTGAGCTGCGATCTCGTTCTGAGAAACAACCATGTGCCAAACCGCTACTACTGATATTATCGAATTATTGCCCAACATCTCATCATATCATATTCAATTATATAGTAGATTTTGTCCATGTGCCTCCACTTGGCTATACTTTCACTTCGCTATACTTTTGTTTTGTAGATTTTCTCAAGGCACTCAAGGCAGGGTGTGGGTATTACTTTTGAAAGTGCACAGGCCCAGCCTCCAGTCATGCCCGGCTTGATTTATTCGGCCACTCCGCTTCGATGGTCCTGCAACGTGCACAAGTGAGCTGATCGAAGAATATAGAAGACAAGTTTTTTGCGTGCACTGAGGGGAGCAACTTTGTACCCGCACACTGGAAGTTGGGAGTTTGGGGAGTTTGTGAGAGTAGGCCTGGATTGCAAGAACCACCGTGATCGAAGATAGTTCACTTGTCGATCTAGTTTGCCGCTTTGAGCTCTGCCTGCATTGCTTGGCTGCCAGGCAAGGAGAGAAGCCCCACGGCCGAACCCACCTGCACCGCCGCCGCAACAAATGTTTGTATCTCAAGGGTCGCAGGGCATGGGCCGCTGGGCCTAACGTGCCAAGAGTAGTGAATGATACAGGCAAAGAGGGTTGCTTATTGCGACTGGTACTGTATCACTTGACTGTGTTTTGTTGAGGGTGTGTTTCATTACGTGTAGCAGTCGGTAAAATATTATCACTGTCTTGGAAAAAGGTCTTTACGAACCACCATCATCCACTGCTATTCAGAATGGGATATATACCTATATAAGAGTTTTGTGTCACATGATGCAGCAACGAAGAATTGGCCTTGCTTCAACGCTTTGAAGCTTTCTGCAGTTTCAAGGAAAAGGGTTAATGTACAGATAGACAAAGGGCCCACGCTTCTGGGATGAGTTTGAACCACGATTTTGTTTGCTGAATGACAGGGTTTAGGGTAGGTTTAGGGTGTGGCATTGCAAAACATAGATGTACGCGGGCATTAGGCATATGGCATATGCATCAAACTTCATCTAGGCGTGCAGGTGCTGCAGGTGCACGGGTGCCTGTAGTCGCAACTTCTACTATGCGCCCAAGGCCACTGCCGAGTCCTCCAGCGGCGCGCCCACAGGCCAGGTATACGGTGTTTCAGAAATCACGCCGCTGGTTGTGTTTCAGAAACGCACGGAATTCTACTATTGGCATTCATCCAGAATTGTAGGACAATGATCCATGGTTCGAGGACACACCCTGCCCTACCAATATCCCAAGCCAGAGGAACTACTTGGAAGCATTCAGCTGCATATGTTTGGTCCTGGAGCGTTCATGCACCCAAATGAGGGGATGATGTGTCTCTTGAAGAGATTTGTGAACCGACACGAATAAAATTCAGGCTAGACGAAGTCCATGTGCAAGCATGCACATGTAGTCCACTGTAAAACCAGGTTTGTGTTAATCACAAGCCGGAGGTCCAGATGCACACGCGACAGAAACCCACACAAGCTTCTGGTTCCACTGCCAGTTCCAGGCGGTGAACCAGGGCGTCGCTCCACAAAGCCTTGTGCTCAAACAAGAAAGAGGTTACCTTCGACGAAACCCCGCCTTGCTCCTTCTTGCTCTTTTTCCTTGGGAAGCATGAGGCGACTGAATATATACAAAGGAATGATGAGAGGTCTACTGCCTTGCCATTTTTGCAGCTTGTTGGTGCAGCATGGTTTGCATGTTAAGACATTTCGCAAAAGTGAAAGCTGAGACCAACGACCTCAGACGGCCCTGGCCTCAATGCTATAAAGAAAGAAAAACAATGAGCGCAGTGCAGGTTTCATGCATTCACATTGTTTGAAGAGTATATGTGCTGGACATGATTGGATGCTCGCTTAAAAGCCCTCAACGGGCGCAGAATCAAAGAAACAATTTTGTATTGTGAGCGCAAACGACATGAATGGCAACCGATTGGCCACACCTTCGATTGTATCACTAGGTAAGTAACATACATCAGCTATTCATGCAGCTCTTTCCTAGAGCCCCAGTTTCCTGTCCAATGTGGAGCCGTTCCTGGTGAAAAAAACTTAAAAGACTAGGAACCGAGCACCAAGCATAGTCTTAAAGACTCCGGAGGCCGCTAGGTATCAGATTAGACCCACTGACAGGTGGACCAGCTCTTGAGTGAGCCAGAGGTTCCCATCAGCACTCCTGCACAGCCCGCTCTGGGCCCAGACTGCTTGACAGGTCAAAGGGAGGACACAGTGGATCTCATCAGAACGGGATCGTCGCAAGCGTCTCATTGTGATGACGTTGATGTTTTGATGGGCATCGCATCGTCCCTTGTGGGCATCGCATTCGCAGCTCGAGGTCCAAGATGCAGTGGCTTCAGTCTTCAACAGTCTTTCTCAGGAGCTAAGCAGCTAATCCAACAAGTGTATGCATGGTAAGGTACAACTGCACGGCCGCCCCGTAAAGAAAACCAAAGGGTTTCAAACCAGTAATCATGCATTTGCGCCGGGCGGAACTATGCTTGCTCGTCGACCGCACAGAAATGCATCATTGTGTTCTTAATGAGTGCATACAAACAGGACGATAGATTAGTGCTAAGATGCAACCTTCCCAACTGACGTGGATGTCAGCAAGCACATCTTCTTTGAAGGCCATAGGCATGAAGAAACTAAACCCCCTCCTTCTCCTCAGCATTCAGCAAGACTGGTTGTGAACTGTCGAAGCTGGAGCTACTATGTTACGTACACACACACACACAAAGTTATAGTTGCATCGCCCAGGGCAAACCCAATTTGTTCAGCCAGATTATTGCAGGACAACATTCCGGAGAAGGTGGATCAGCTGCAACGTAGCGTCTGAGCCTTGAGTGGCAGAAATTCAAGAGCTGAAGCAGCTGAAGCTCAAATGCCACGGGCCATGAGATCGTTCGAAACTGCTTCCAGCCACGGGCCCCATGTACCAGGCGGCTGGAACTGCGTTGAAACGTCCAAGGTGACACAGAGCGACTATCGTTGGCTTTGCTACTACACGGTCAGCCGGCGTGCGACGAGGGAGGCGGGCCCGTTGAACCTGGAGTCGTTGAACAATGGAATACACGGACTTGGCAGCTTGGCAACTTAGACTCACATGGACAGACGGACTTGGACTTGAGTTTGGGTCTCGGAGTTATCCGGAACCCACACTTGGCATGAGTTCTTTTTTTTATTGGTCCAAAGATGGGCCAGCACCACGGGGTCTGTTGAGGCCAACTTCCACCAGAACTACATTGCATTCTTCAACGCTTGCAAAGACAGGAAGATCCTCTTTCATCAGGCGTGGAGACTCACCAAGGCGAGTCCTAGGAGTCAAGGGTGAGTCCTTCTATCGAGAAAGATTCAAGATCGTACAGTAAAGAAACATTCCATGTTTTTTCCAAACAATTCTAGGAGCAAAGGACGCTACGAACGGGGCTCCTGGCCTTACTACTAGGAGCGATCGGATGCTACTAGGAACCAAATTAATAGTGCGAGCGCTTCTTCAAGGAAGAGCTTCCCGCCGGCGCCTTTAGGGCGGGAAGCTTCCGTGAAGAAGCGTGAGCTATCCTGGAGCTTACCTCCTTACTGAAATGAGTAGACGCCTACTTAATTAAGTAAGAACGGGCTAAAAACGATTCAAGATAGTGCAGTGCCCTTCAGAATCTACACCTCCACAAGTGCTTTGGATATCATATGATATCATCAATTGCAGTATATAATCATGACGAGCTTGTGAAGAAACGCACCACGAACCATGTCTGGCAGAACCTACCAAACCATCACAAAAAAGGACATGTGAGGTTGCACCTGCCCTGCATGGAAATATTGTTTAAACACTTAGCTCCATTTGCCTAGGACAAAAGCCGTCAATTGAGCTCTGATGTAAATACCTCATGCTGATCCTGTCGGTGGGAGGTGATTTCATCTCCTAAGTGAGAGGAGCCGAGATGCGTTGGAGCAGGCACTAGATTTCGGCTCACAGCACGAAGCATTAGGTTCCTTCAAACCAGAAAACATGGCCGCCAGCAAGGAGGAAGATGTGCAAATGATGTTGGTATCTCGACCAGACGATAGGGTTGTGGAATGGGAGGCCGCAGGTCAGATGCAAGACGCAGCTGACGAGAAATAGGTACGCACTTCAAATACATTGAGGTAGATTTGGCTGGTATCAGACAAGGTGATCAAGGTAATTGATCTCAGAATCCAAACCTCCATCAGTAGGCCCCAGATTCTGATCTTTCCTAGTGGCCTTGCTATGAGTTCACTTGAGGTTTGCAAGACTCACTTGGGAACAAGAAACGTGGACTATCGCATGAAGCGTATCCCAGCTGCAATAATCAGGCGTTACCTCGGATTGTTCTTGCTTTGACAGTTTCCTGAGCCACGGACCCTAGCATCGCCGACATAGGCGATTTGCAAGGAATGGGACGACGGAGAATAGGGTTGCTTGCATCAATCTACGACCTTGCACTTCTTGCTTTGCATACACAGGTCACGAAGCACATGGCAAAGCTTGATCTCATTCTTGGGTTGGAAAAGATAGTCCGCAGACCCTACAGCGCAGAATAGTTTATTTACCTCAGAGTGGAAGGGCAAACACCTACAAGTGTACTTGCGGAATGACAGGAGAGGTAGCAGGCGATGGAATTGAGAACCTTTGCTACAAAGCATCAAAGGAGCTTTGCCTGAGGCTACATCTTCCGCCGCACAGTGGAGGGAATCCACATCATTCACCTGGGGAAGGCCTGGGAGAAATTGATGGTGGCGGCAAGGATGACGCTTGGATGGCCAGGAAAACCGCATGAGCACAGGCAACATGAGGCTAAAGGGAGAATGTTCTTTGTGCTAAGCTGCTACACAGTGCATTCACTTACACACACCTTTTCCACATTGCTCTGAGCGTTGGGTGTATCACTGACGCAGCGGCCTTCCTGGTCATGACAGTCCACTGCCTGATGCTGGCCCGAAAATCTCCAAAAGAAAGACCAACCAAATCGATCAAGATACTAACTAAAAGTCGTGCGAAAAGGTCCACACAGCTAGACAGCAAGGTGGTGCATGGCTGAATGGCCAAGTCGAGGCAAACTTTGGAATCGCTTTGAGAGACCTCCATTTCCTGTCCCACAACCACCCCGTCTTTGTCGGACCTTGTTTGACAGGACTCCTGATCGGCTGTAGGTTCTGCAATATGTGCACAGTCAGTAAATTACTTTCTATTAGGACCCTAGAATGCCACCAATAGTTGACTTGGAAGCTTTTGATTGCTGAAACACACACACAACAAAAATAGATGGCTTTTGAGATGCATGCGAATCATGATGCATGCGAATCAATGGACTCAAGACTGAGGATTGTGGCAATTGAGAACCCTGGGGACATCATTGTGGCTTCCCAGTTCCTTGGAGATGCTTTCGTACCGTACCGGGTCACACAGGTATCCTTCGGTCGTACAGGTCACCCATCACCCGGCTTGACCCGCGTGAAACACCCGGTTTCGCCTTGGGTTCGGATGGATGTTCAGGTGTTGTAAGTAGCTAGTGTCATGTTCAAGTGTTGTAAGTAATTGTAAGTAGCTAGATTCATACTAAGACATCCTAATCAACATAGTGATCATGTTTGCCGATCTAAGATCTAAGGCAATTATGTCATCCAGCATGTGTAGTAGACAAGGCTCATGCAGCAGTGTATCGTGGAGGTTGAAGGTGGTCTTTGTGCAGGGGAAAAAGCAGCGTGCGCATAGCACAATGCACTTGGCCAATGGTTGGAGAAGTGATCAGGAGTCCAAGATGGCCCTACAATTTCAACTTCATGATGGGCAAACGATTCTACGTTGAAAACACATCTGACATCATCATCTGACATTCTTCACATTCTGAAAGTAGCATATCCTTTCACGACGCAACCACGCCCTAGGCGACCCTATGGCTCTCGTGCTGTGTTGAAGTTCTCCCAGCAGCTCGACAGAGAGATCAAAGAGCATTAGCAGCAGGGATTTGTCCAGAGATACCTGTGTGGAGTCTCGATTCTCTATCCAGAATGCGTTCAGAATGGCAGAAGACAGCATAGAATGCGTTCAGACAGACAGAAACCCGCCAGGTACACCGGCGCCAATCCCCTGGCCGGACGCTGGACGCCGGGAACGCTGACGAACCAGATCACGCTACTGAGCAGCGATGGTGTGATCCACCGGGCAGTTGCAGCTGAAATAATAGAGGTGAATCGTAGAATCAGTTAATCAAAAGAATCAGATCAGAGAAACGAGTCCTTCAGCAAAAGTGATCATTTGTGCCCATTTCATCCATACGACACAGGCTTTGATGAGACAACTCAGAATATCAACTTCTCCCTGGTTGCTCAACTGTTCAACCCTGCCTTCTCGACTCTAATTCAATGGAACAAAGGACTCGCTTGAAGTGGTGAAGCCGTTCATCCAACCCATCAAGTCACTTGAACACAGTCCGTTTCCGCGCACGTTCATCGCGCGCGTCTCGCGCTTCTTGAGGCAGAAGTACTTGGAGCCTCGTCTTCTGATCGTCACAGATCCACGGACCGATAGCCAAGCCATCAAGGAGGCCGGGGTTTGGCTCGGGTGGGGCGCCATCGGTGAAGAGAGGGCGATGCCGCCAACACTCCAGTTTCTGCCAGATGGCCCCAAACGGGGCCTCCATTATTGGCAAGCAACACGCATCAAAACAATAGCAGTACTCCAAATGTAGCCTGATCCATGATGCAGTGCAATCCAATCAGACATTTGGTGTTTTTCCTTTCACTGGTCAGGCCTCCTATGCGAGCATCCCTGTGATTGCTCTTTGTGATACAGACTCTCCGTTGGAGAATGTGGACGTGGCAATTCCGGCAAACAACAAGGGTTGGGCGCTCAAGGTGCAGACATCTTGGGGTGGAGTCGCACATCCCTTCCTTTCCAAGCGGTTTTAACCTATGATATGTTTGACTGCACATTATGGATTGGAGAACGGATCCCCATAATCAACCAGCTCTTTGTGGTGCTACTGACTGTATCTGAAGCTGTTTCGGCTGTTCTACACTCGTGCAGGGGGTTTAAAGAGGAAGCTGCAAGCAGCTTAGTGGACGACTCGCCGGCCATCAGGACGTGAATGAAGACCATTTCCACACAAGTGAAGAAACATACCACTGTGCAGGGGCCATTCTGCGCCATTCTCCATGAAGGACACATGTGTGATCCTCCTCTCGCTATGTTGGCAAAAGACCTCCATTTAGTCAAGGGTGAGGGGCGGTTTCTCTTAGTCCAGGGCCTGCACTTTGGTCCACGATTAAAGCAGCGTGAGTCTTTGCTGTCTCGGACAAGCAAGCCAGTTTTTCCAATCTCTTGACACACATCCTCGTGGAAGATTGCCACATATTGCCCCTGACCATCCTCCAATCATAAGTGCTTGGGCCCAGGCAAGGAATCCATTGCTTTGCTGTACTGGATGCTGGCGCGTGAGGTCTGGGGTTGTTTTGGTCAATGGTCCATCCCCTAGCAACGTCGATCCGAGTAGAGCTTGGAGTAGAGCGAGGTGCATGAACGACGCAGACCAGTTTCAGAGTGGAACGTTTTGACAGCAAGTCAAGGCTAGTTTCGAAACGATGTAAATGATTTCATGACGCTTTCGTTTCGTTTCGTTTCTGACTGGTTAAAGGGGGTTGGGTGTCATGAGCTCAAAAAAGGGCGGCCTGATGGCATTCATGGGTGTGTCACAGCGACTTTGGTCGACCGATTTGGAATATATAAACCCATGTTGCTTTCAGAAATCACATGTCTAGCCACACTACATGCGCGAGACGAGCTGCTTGCATATCTTTGCTGGTGATGCCAGGTGTTGTACCTCCGAGGCACTTTGCCTCGCAATCAACCTTGGGTTCCTTAGCCTGAACTTTGACTGGGCGGGAACTCTTGTCCGTTTCTGAGGTTCTTTCTATTCTATCCTTCATTTTGAATGCACCTGCTTTGTTAGCAGAAACCTTTTTGGAGTGAAGAGGAGGACCGGGGAGGAGTTACTTTCCCCACAACACTCAAATTAATGCTTTGCCTGCTTTGCCTGCCGCTCAGGATGTGATGGTGGATTCATTCTTCTGGCGCGACCCTGAAGAGATCATGCAGCAGGCCAAAATCGGTGGAACAGTATGACTGTTTTTGTTTGTTTGGACCGGAAAAGAGATGGCAGCGCTTTGAGGAACAGTAGGTCCTGAGTCGGTGTACTGCACCTGGGCGGAGCACAGGAGGAGGTGCAGCAGGACTGGGGCCAGCAAGCAGCAGCACCGGCAGCTTGGGAAGGAGCTGGTGGAGGTGCTGGAGTGTGCGATGGCGCAGCTGTGGAAACCGATCGGCTAGGAAATAGATGGAGGTTCCAACAAACTTGTGAGTGAACACTCGGCCACCGGACCCTGGTGCAAGCTTCTCTCCCTGCTTCTCTCCGATGCTTGGAGGCGGCAACTGGGATGACATTACGCAGGCAGAAGAGCTGAGTTGTCACGGGTGTTCCCGCTCCCACCAGCATACTCTCATGTAAAAAAAAACAGCAAGCTGCGGACCGCAGGCCGCACAGGGCGACGGCTCCTGGGATGCCCCTGCTGCGGGTGGCGATGATTGGAGTGCGCCGGCCGGTGGCACTGGCTGGTAAGGAGCGCTTTGGAAGAGAACTGCGAACACCGAGCAAAACCAAGTCCTTTGGAGACAACATTGCTTGAATTCATGGAGAGGCCCTCAAGCTTTTGTTTGGTTTTGCTATGCAGATGCAGTCGGTTGAAGTGAGTTCGTTTGCAACGGCCCTTTTCCCCAGTAGAATGAGATTGGACCTTGCAGCTAAACTCCAGCGCAGGAGATGCTGTGAAGGAAATCGTGCAAGCAATGGCGACGGATGGTTTGTCTGTGACAAAAAGAATGGAGCACTAAGTTGGAGGGTCCAGTATGGAAGCCCGCATTTTTACCAAGAATGTCTAGGGGGCGGGGAATGTCAAAAAAGAGAAGGAGAGGCAAAACAGTTTACAGGTTGATGCGTTTTTTGCTCTAGGCTCTAGGTGGGTTTGCTAAGTTTTGAAGGAACCCTATGTTCTTCCACTTTGTTTACTTTCCTACTTGTCTCCATAATTCACATCTTTTATGGACTTCTTGTTCTACATTTGGATTCCTTTATGTTTCTCTACATTTCTCATTTTTGTTGTACCACAAACCATGACCTTCATTCTTCTGTTCTATACAATGCAGCCACTACAGTGCAAAGTTCAACCTTGTCTCCCTCTCCTCCACGAAGCCGCGGATCTGTGGCAAGAACGTGCCACACCTGTACGGTGGAACCCTCTCCAATTAACTTTTCCAGGAAGAAATACTGCAGAGTGCACATGCTTTTGCCTTCCTTTGCGCATAAACAAAGGGGTCGGCCTATATATTTCAAGCTGACCTGCCTTTGCTTTGTCAAGGATATCATTTTACAGCCTGGGGGCAGGTTCAGGTGAATGGTGGTGAAATCCGTCGCAGAGTCATCGGTACCACCGCTTTCGCCAGTATCGAACATGGGATTATCGAACCGCGCAGCTTATCATCATGACCTTCGAGTGCCTGCGGCTCATGATGAAGGCTGTCGATGAGGCCTGATATCCAAAGAAGCAAGATAGTGACTTTTCAGTCATGCCACAAGTCTTGGTGGTTTTGAGAGTTGTTGATGTTTGTACTATATTTTTTTGAGTGTGCTCTGGTTTGTTGGAATGGATGTTTGGTGGTTCCTATGCCCTGGTGCAAAGGTGCAGATGCACATGGATGTGCAGGAAATATAGTATGCATTATATAGTGATGATTTGTTCGTGAGCACGCAAGCTTAGGACTTCCCATTCATTGTACACCTAAGAGCTTGCAGGTACTACACTTTCTTTTATGCCTGACTCAAAAGCCCTCAACAAGATCTGAGGTTTTTTTGCTGAGAAAAATATGTATGTGGATGTCATCAATTAAATTCGTTGCTTTTGGAACAGATCTGCCCAGTCAGTACAGTTGGAGTACAGCTCACGGGGTGGTGCCAGCGGACAAATCGGTTGTTCCGACCTGCTCCGTTCATTCCGCTCCCGATGAAATCCAGGCTGTGAACTCATCGAATCACAGGACGGTGCTCAAGAGTTTAGGAACCTGGCTAGGCCGGGACTGGAACGTGAGGGCATTTTCTACAGACACCGACACCTCACTTTGTCAGCAGAAAATACCCTCCAAGTGACACATCCGCTTGATTTGCACCGCGTTCAAAACTTCAACCATTCACTGAGTATACTGCGCTGCATGAATTGAAGAAGTACAAACGGCCAACGGCAAAGTACAGACAGGGTGTGAGACCTCGATGTCATGTCTTCCTCTTTCTCTAGAGGTCTCAAGTTTTGAAAGAGTGCTGATTTCATCTTGAATAACTATACTTCATGGGGATGGTAAAGGCAGGCCAAAAAGGGCTAGTCACAGGACTTCCAAAGTGTCAGCAGCGATTTGGTAGGACATCATCTCAAAATGACTCTGCCACTGTACCAACGGGCTGTGACGGGTGCAGCGAGGCTTGCTGACTATCGGCCGTGATGTACCATTGAAGAGCCAGGGCCACGGGCAGGAGGCGTCAGTGTTGCCATCTAGTGATGTCAGATTGCTTTGATCTAGACGACGATGATTTGGAACACCAATTGGTATTCAGATGAATCTGAATCGATCAACCCTGCGTCAGTACCAACTTATGTCCACGATTCCCTTTAGGGCTCCCCACTCATTTTCTAGTGCTGAAGATCTTTGGACCGAAACCAAGTAGCTTTGGCCTGCCTTGGTTTCCAGTCATTTGGCCAATGTGAGGTAAGAGCATGGACATCAAGGATTTGCTGCTTGATGCTTACGAGCCAGCTGCCTACAAGCCTGACCAAACTAAGACATGGAACCTGTGGTGGGGTAGTTGTTGTCTCAATGGGAGCGACATCAAGGCTAGTTGTGGGGCTGACAAATGAGCTATTCAATGTCAATACCACACTGTTTTCTTACTCGTGGGCTCCACATTTTCAGAGATGTGTTTTCTCTCCCAACTCAAGCGTCTTGTAGTCAATTGTACCCAGGAACATGCGGCTGACTGCAGTGTTGCCACTGGCTTGCAAGGCGTCAACCTAGGATCGAAGCTTGGTCAATCCAGCTGCTTTTGCTTGCTTCTTGCTTGTGCAAAAGGCATGTACACTGCATATAATATACTACTCTTGTTTGGGTACATCCATGTAAATCCAAAAAATCATTAAGTATCAATAGAAAGGGGGAAACAAAAGATCTCGATTGTGTTTCTTTGTTGAGTTCTTGGACAAATAACTCTCCAAGTGAAGTCTGACATCTGCCTGCAGGTCCTAGAACCTGTGGAGAGGTCACGTGCGTGCAGCATCTCAGGAAGAGTGACTACCATTGCAACCACAGAAAATGGCGGTGGACTTGATTGTTTGCTCCATTTAACGCATGCACAGAGAGACGTACCTTTGGAAACACCAGGTTGAAGAGGTCTCATGACAGCGCTTGCTAGTCCCCCTACAAGAAGTGATCCTCATCGTTTCTTGGAAGATTCCGGATACCGCCTTGCGAGGGCTATATTGAAAACTTCATTCTAGATGCTCTACGATTACATGCAGAAAACTGTTCAATCGCGGCCAGCAGCAACAAGCACATTGCAGGCCAGTTGGTGACAAAATGAGGTCGGACACAGCGGAATGCGATTTGAATAGTATGAGAAGTAGAGTCTAGAGAGTTTCTCTGTAGGTTCAGATTGCCATCTCCTTGGACGATGGGCTTATTGTGGCTTGGAGTCGTGACACATCGTGAGCCGTTTGGAGGCAGGGTTTGGAGCCTTATTGCAGACGTTAGGCCTGGGTGAAGTTTGCAATCCGCAACCGTCATTGTCATACCTATATAGCTTGATTGTCTTAAT